GGGCTGCGCCACCTGGCTGCGTGGGCGAAGGGCATGATAACACGCAGGCAAATCAAGGTGTCTATTGATAGAGTTGGTGTTCGACACCCACGCGTCCAACAGTTCTTGCCCCGTCTTGTTGCCGGCTCGTGCCAATATCCGCATATTGACGAAGTCGAACTCATGGCCTTCCTCCAGCGTGTGAGTGGCGACTTGAGATAGTGGGTCGCCTCTCTGAACGGCCCGTTTGTGCTCAAGTATTCGTGAGCTGAGAAGTCGTCCTTTTTGGCCTGTGTAGTGGCAAGGGTAGTTATGGCACAGGATTTGATAGACTACACTGGACTGCTCACCTGCGTCAAGCCGATCCTTCATTTTCATAAACTGTTGCAGGCGTGGGCGTTGGACACCAACTCTATCAATAGACACATTGATTTGCCTGCGACTTATCACGCATTCCATCCACGCAGCCAGGTGGCGCAGCTCACATCACCGCGAAGTACAAAAGGCGTCACCACGTCGGGGACCATTGTGGACCGGGCGGCACAAACCAGACCTAGCCACGGACATAGTTCCCCTCCCCTCACGGCACAACGATATAAATGTTCACACGTTGCTGCACTCTAGCAGTCTCTGATGATGAACTCCAGTTCGAGTTCGAAAGCTAAGGCCAATAAATCTACCGCCCAGTGATCGTGCCTTCGTCTTCTTTTAAGCAAGAACCGGGGATGCGCATATTCTCTCCCATTCATTCTCCTTTCTGTACACATTATTGGTCGCGATGAGATTGATCGCGAGAACGCTAGATTGAGCCCCAAGTCGCACTTCCCGTATCCTGGTCGGCGAACGTTCTACCTACGGTAGTGAGGACGCATGCTGCATGCTCGTCTTTGAATTACGGTCGATGGCCTTGGTAATCACGTGCACAAATGGTCACGTGCAAAAGTGGGGCTCTCACGCCGCGGGCCGATCCGCCTCGCTAGAAGCAAATCGAGCTTCAATACGGGCAGGGCCACAGAGGATGCTACCAAAAATAGACAAGGGTGGTTTCATTTCCACTGAGAAAGCCCACCACGAGGATGGAAAAAGACTCTTCCCCAAGAGGAAGACGAAGTCTCTGCATTGGGCCTTGAATTCACAAGTAGAGGCTGGCGAAGTTCAGAGCGCGGAAAGACTACCACCCCTTCGGCCCCCGAACAAACGGGGTCACCCAGGAACACAGGATATCAAACCTCCCACGCATGAACGCCATTACAGCAACCGAAAATTGCCACTTTGTGAAGGAAGCGAGGTTGCAAGAAATGCCTCTCAAACAGTGCATATTATCAGCACCAGCGAGGTAAGGGACCCCGAAGATGAGATGTTAGAACGCAAGAAAGCTGACATGCTGC